TATTTTTGGCTCAGTCATGAGTCAGCTTTATGACCTCAGACTAGTCCATTATGAATATCCCCAGCCTTGGTTTCCTCATCTGAGGAGGGGACTTGGAGGGTACAAAAGGTCCTTTGAGGTCCAAAATATACTTGTACCTAAAGATGAGGAATTTCTCCACAGTCTTGGCACAGGCTTAGAGGCCTCATTGGTTTCTTGAGTCTGGTGCCCTTGCTTTCTCTCCCATTACTCTGAACCTGGACTAGGCTGGTGGAGAGCCAGCAAGTGACTCTTGTTCAGAGTTCTAGGTGGGATTGAATGGACTTCACAGTGATAGGGCTCAGAGCTGCGCGGGTGTAGTGACTGCAGTAAGCCACTAGAAGGTAGCGTTGTTTACTTTCTCTTCTCACTTGTCATTTCTGCTGGGCACTTGAAGAGGAGCCTTGATTTGGTTTCAAAAACTGGAATTTTAGAATTTAAAGGGCTTTGCATCTCACTCAGTAGAACCCCATTGTGCCTCAGATGTGAGAGAATAGGCCAGGAAAGGCAAGTGACCTATTTAAAGTCACAGAGTATGTTGTTCAGGGTCTGTGCTTTAGGGAGTAGGTGTCCAGAGATCGAACCCAGAGTGTGGTCAGTTGAGTCCCCCAAAGGTGGACAGTTCCTACATCTGTGCAAGAATCTGAGGGTTCTATCTGTATCCTGTATACACCTTTGCTCAGATCCCCTGGCCAGGTGCTGAGGAGTCTGGAGATAAAAGAAAAGATAGAGTATCCGAGGAGCCTGTGTCTCGTGTGTGTGTGTGTGTGTGTGTGTGTGTGTGTGTGTGTGTGGTGCAGATGCAAACCCACGCTGCTGTTGAGTGTCTTCCTGACCCTTCCTAGGATCTGCCTTAGCCTGAGGATCTGGGCTGTGGTGGTGGCTTGGAGGCTGGTTTATGAAAGAGCTGTGGGCATTCTTGTGAATGATGACCTCCAAGGTCAGGTGGTACCCTGGCAACTCCAGGATGTTATTTCCAGTGAATCTCTGCAAGCAACGTTGGGCCTAAGCATTGTCCTCGCTTACCATTTCTTGAGGTTTGTAAGGAATTCTGACTATTTCCCACCTTCCAAAGGCTTTGTTTCCTTGATTCAGGACAGCCTTTATTTTTGGCTTCCAGGATGCCCACCAGCCCGAAACACTGTGAATTGGAGTCGGTGCTGGCCTGGGAGCCAGGCAGCTGTGCGACCTTGGACAGGTTACTTCTTCTCTTTGGACAGGGAGGTCAGGCTCTCAGCTGCAGTTGTGTTATCTCTGCCAGAGAGATGAAGTTCTAGTGTTATTTTTGGTTTTTGTGTTTGGCAACGAATACCCATTGATCTGTGGTCCAGAGAAGGTGCAGTTTGTGTCCAGCTGAAGCAGAAGCAAGAGTCACCCTTTGAAGCATTTGAATAAGGGGCTTGCAGGGAGCTGGAGGGCCACCAGGTGGCAGCAGTGGGCAGGGAGACAGCCTTGGGAGTGAGGCCGGCATCCAGAGCCAGAATGAGCAAGGTCAGAGCTGAAAGGACCCCCCAGAGGTTGCCCAGACCCTCTTCCTCTTTTATACAAGGGAGCACTCAGGCTCAGAGAGGGAAGGGGACTACCTAAGGTCTGACCGTAAGTTAATACCTGATGATACCCTCATTTGTCAGAAGAACTGACATCAGCTTGGTTTCAAGCTGGCTGCCCCACAGGAGAGCCAGGAGACAAGGTCCTGGGCCGGTGAGCTAGAGTGGAAAGGGAAGGGGATGGCCGTTAACTGTCTGCCTTGACCTTGGTTTCTTCCAGCATGTAATCCTAATGATTTCTGTCCTCTGTCTGCAGCAAGGGCAGTGTCCCTTGTCCTTTCTGCCCCCCTCATCTGCCCCGTTCTCTTCCATCAGGCTTTGCAATGATGGAATCTTTGTCAAGTATCGTCTTACAACCTCCATACCCAACAGATGGGCAGGCCCCAGCCTTGCAGAGGCAAGTGCAGTAAGACACGAGTTAGCACATTTGGTTGGACAAAACCCATTTTTTTTTTTAACTTTGGAGGGCGGGGGGGCTGGTCAGAGGAGTGCAGGAAACCAGTGTTGCCTAAGGACTTACCATGTCCAGGTAAGAGCACCTGCTCTGCCAGGTGCTGCCACTTACATAACCCCCACGTAGGGTTCTTATCCCTTGTATTGTAGATGAAGAAATAGAAGCTCAGAGAGGCTGGGTGGCTCATCTAAAGTAACACAGCTAGTTAAGAAACAAAGAAGACACTCAAACCACACACTACTGGGTGTCAAAGGTCACACTCATTTATTTCATCATGCTATTTCCCCTCAAAGTGACTGCACTGGGAATGTAGCCAGTGACCCTCAGGCTCTAGGGCAGGGAAGAACATATGTTTCTCTCTCTCTTGGAGAAGGCTTGTGGGGGGGGGTTGTGGTGGGCTGCTAGGCAGGGGTAGGTGAAATGTGGAGCAGGCCAAGGAGAGATGTAGGGTGGCAGGAAGCCTCCCCATTGCAGGCTGAGTACCTCTCCTCTCTGTGTGGTATTCTAGCAGTTTCCTCCGCCAGGAATGCTCGGCTCTGATCCTCACGTGTTCTTACTGCACTTTCTGTCCAACCATCACCTCTTATATAGTCTCTCCCTGTCCATCCCTCTGACTGGAGCCCTCGCCGCCCTGGTTCAGCTGCAGTCTCCTCCCTGTTGTGCTTTGTTTTTCGCTATAACATTTTCACTGTCTGAACCCATAGATCATGTGTTTCCTTATTTGTTGTCATTCCCTCCTCACCAGAGGTGAGCACCACAGGGTTAAGGTCTTGGTCTGTTTTTTTTCACCCTTGGATCTTCTGGCACAGAGGAGAGAGGCACAGTGAGTGCAAGTGGTGTGGGACAGCTGGAGCTTTTGGAGGTCGGAACGATGCCATTTTCGGTGACTGTGTTCAGGAGATCAGCCTGTGGCTCTGCTCACTTCCCACCATCTCTAAGACCCCACGGCAGAGAGCCTCAGCTCCCCAAGGCCACAAGTGATGCCTGGTGCCCCAGGGCTTTTGGGCCAGCTTGGGACCCGCAAGGTCTGGCCTTGGATCCCTGGCTTCCACATCTGTCCACAGCAGGTAGAGGCCCAGCCATACTGCTAGCCTACCAGATGGTTCTGGGAAGGGCTCTGCGGTCCTTGGCAGAGGGCTCAGTTTCCATTCAAGGGATCCTCCTCTTTCCTGGTGGGGATTGAATTGTTCCAGGAGCTTTCTAAAAGTGAGCACTAAGTGACTGACCTGTAATTTGCCATCATTTTAAGGTTCTTGACAGATGGCACTGTATTTGCCCTTTCTCAGGGGACCTTGTCTCCTTGAAACTCTCAATAGTCGCAGTGACAGCCAGTGCCTTAAAGCGCTCTCGGGTGTGTGCCAAGAGGAAAGTGGCCCATTTTGAGGAATCTTGCATCAACTTTTTCATAATTCAAGAGACTTTTTATCTTAGGAGGAGGCCTGATGTGGCCAAAATTGCTCCAAAGATTTATTTTTGGGCATTTGGGTTGTTTCCAGGTTTTACCTATTGTAAATAGTGCTACAATAAACATAGTGGTACAGGTGTTCTTTTGAATCAATGTTTTTGTGTCCTTTGGGTAGATCCCTAGGAGTGGAATTGCTGGGCCATATGGTAGCTCCATTTTTAGTAGACTGAGGAACCTCCACATAGCTTTGAACAGTGGTTGGACCAGTCCACCAGCAATGTAGGAGAGTTCGTTCCTTTTTCACCACATCCTCGACAGCATTTGTTGTTGCTTGTTTTTTTGATATGTGCCATTCTTACTGGTGTAAGGTAGTATCTCAGTGTGGTTTTGATTTGCATTTCCCTGATGATAAGGGATGTTGAACATATTTTTCATATGCCTGTTGGCCATTTGCATTTCCTCTTTGGAGATATGTCTTTTAAGTTCTTCTGCCCATTTCTTGACTGGATTGTTTACTTTGTTTTTGTTGAGTCGTGTGAGTTCTTTGTATATCTTTGTGATTGGTCCCTTATCAGTTGTATGGTGTGCTGGGTCAAGAAGATGTGGTATATATACACAATGGAATATAATTCAGCAATCAAAAAAGATAAACGCATGCCATTCTCAGCCATGTGGATGGAGCTAGAGGGAATTATGCTCAGTGAAATAAGCCAGAAGGAAAAAGAAAAATATCGGATGGTTTCACTTATAGCAGGAATATAGGGGAACCCAATAAGACATCAGTGTAAAAAAATACTAACAGTGAAAAACACAACAAAGCAAAAACAGACAATTACAAATCAGAGACATCCTGCAGGGGAGGAGCGGGGAGAGGGATCAGAGGGAGGGAGGGAGGAGCACAGGGGACTGAGGTGATGGTGCACAGGTGCATTGGTGAGGGAAACTCTATGGGGACTACACCTGAGGGGGTGGGGGAAGCAAATATTGTTTAAAAATGAACAATGATGTAAAAAATAAAAAAATTCATTAAAAAAAATCCAAAACAAAATTGCCCCAAAGAGCCAGGTTCAAGTTCTAACTTGGCTGCTTATAGTGCGTGATCTTGGGCAAGTCATTTAACTTCTCTGGGCTTGAATTTCTTCACTTTTAAAATGATACTCAAAATCTCTAGTTTATCTGCCTCACAAGAATATATTATGTTCTTCACTCATCCATACATTCCTGCCTTCATTTCTTCACTCTTTTCAACAAATCCTTGTTGAATAGGCTAAGGTGAGGGAAGAGCTTTTCTGGTGGAAGGAATACTTCAGAGATATAGAAGCAGGACAAGTGCCCTGGTGTTTACTTAACTCAAGGCCAGATAGAATGAGAAGAAACTGGAAATATTCAAGTGTAATGGCCATGAGTCTTTATTCAAGCTTTGTTCTGCAAGCAGTGGAAGAACTGCTGAAGGTTGTGTGGTGGTAGCTGGGCTGGAGGGCCTGAGATGATAAACATGAGCACTGAAGGGAAGGCCCTGCCTTGGGTGGCTCTTACGGTCTCCTCTGTTAGAGCATCATGCTTCCTTTCTGCTCAGGTCTCATCCCTGTGACTGATTTGAAGGCACTCTGGATACTCGAGGGAGCCCATACCCCATGGGCAGGTCCTGGGCAGGGATGACTTAGAATGGACGAGATTGGTAGGGACTGAAGAATCTGCCTCATTGTCTGCCTCCTGGGAAGCTCTCTCCGGGCTACGTGGAAGGTCACTCAGGAAGCCGTCACTCAGGAAGGTCACTCAGGAAGCCGTCACTCAGGAAGCCATCACGTTGCCTTCTTTCTCGAAGCATTTCTGAAGATGAGTAGCTTTGGGGCTTCTCCCACACCTCCCTGAGGAGATGGAAGTGTGTGGGAAAGGGTTACTCACATTTATCAAGGACGCACTGTGTGCCAGGCATTTTGCCAGGGCTTTACAAAATCATCTACTTAATCCACATGTAAATTTTGCCAAGTAAGGCTCAGCCACTCCCATTTTACATATAAGGAAACTGAAGTGAAGTCAAGAGACATGGGCTCACCTGACCTAGTTACTTGCCTTGCTCAATGTGAAATGGGGGTCAGCTTGTCAACTTTCAAGGTGATATGAGGCTCAAGTGAGGTCATGGATGGGAATGACCTTGCAAACTGGAAATCTCTTTGTGCACAGGGGGTCATTCATCGTGCAGCTTTCTGGCCAGATTTGCTTGGGTCTTTCTTTCCTGGGCTAATAGAAAGTTCTAGCCTTTGGTTTTTCCTTCATCCAGTCTGCCCCTGAGTCAGTGACTCCTACTCATTACTTCCCTCTTTTAAGTCCATAACTATGGAGGCATTACTCTTTTTTTGTTTTTAAAGAAAATTAACCCTACAGTACAAAATTAATATCAAAGTAAGCTTATTATTATTATTATTATTATTACTATTATTATTGCCATTTTGGTGAAAGCATTATTAAGTCATGGAATTCTAATGCAGGAATGGGCTGCCTCATTTTTGTTTGTAATTTGAGAAAACAGAAGCCCAGTGAGATGGGCCCACAGTTAATGGATAGCAGAGCCAGGGTTAGAACCCAGTGGATTCCTTCCATTGCCTTTACCCCACCCCATCACTCTCTTAAGAGAGTCTTCAAGTGCTTTGGCTCCTTTGTGAAGAAAGAATTCACTTTAATAAATTTCATTACACCCCTTTATATAACAGGGCTGTTTCCGGGTCCTGGCAGAATGTCCATAGTAACAGTGCTTTGCTGATTTGGTTGGAGCTGATCCTGTAAAATGAAAAATCCTGTGTAGCAGATGCCTTTCCCAGTTCCTGGCCATGGGAAAGCCAGCCTCTCCCAGGAAAGGCACTGCAGCATTGCTTCTTAGCGCCCCTGCTGTGATTCAGTATGGATGCCCTGGGAGGCGGGCTAGAAAGCTGTCAGTCTTGTACAAAGGTTCACACTGGTGACTTGGAGTTCCTTGGCAGGTGGGGTGCCAGTAATGGGTATTTCTTCTTGGGCCTGAGGGACAGATGGGAGCGGGGAGCAGCGTGGGAGGGAGATTAGCAGATGTGGAAAAGAGAGACAGCCTGTCCCACCATAGAAGTGGCAGGGCGGCGGCCTTGCATACCATGAGGCCAGGCACCTCCAGATGATCACTTTGAGTGTAGCTGCAGCGCCTGTCACATACCCTGCCAGCCTTGACAGTGAACTCTGATCCCCAGCCTCTGCCAGCCACCTACATTGAAACTGCTGGGACTCCCTTCCCTGGTGAGCGTGGATCATAGTGGATTCTCTACAGTAGCCTCTTCTGGCTGTGCTCCTTATGGCCACTCCTTGATGCAAGTGACAAGGCCCCAAACCACAACCAGAAACTCTTCCTGACCTTGAGCTGCTGCTCAGTTCTCACCCTTGCTGTCATCCTCTCATGTGGGGTGGGAGACTGCTCCTCTATCCTTTTTTCCCCCAAAGAATTATTTATTTATGCATACAAGAGACTGGGGTACAGGCCAGAGCTGCAGGGGCTGAGAGGATTCACCAGAGACAGAGTGGGGAGCAGAACAGGCAGATCCACTGAAATACACTGCTGAGGGGAGCAGTGGGTGAGACAGGAGAGGTCTGCTGTGCCATGTGGGTAGCTCCCTGGCTGGGGATCGAACTCATGCTGCAGTGGTTGCAGATAGCTTCATAGTGCGTCTTAATCCCTTGTGCCACCAGGGAGGTCCCTGTTCCCCTATCCTTGAGTGCAGCTCTAGTAGGACCACAATAGGTCTTTTATATCCACCTTTCAGGAAGAATGTGGGAGTTTCAGGGAGGCAGATAGGAAATTTGAGAGGAACCATCCAGAGTCATGTCCAAAGATGATCACAATTGTTGTCCACAGTTAGCATTCCAGGACAGACCCTCTCCTCTCCTAGCTCCTGCTCTTGGGTGAATTATTTGCCCAACCAAATTTTGGAAAGTACCCTTATCTCCTCTGTTTAAAGATCCTCATTGGAACCTCCCAATAACTGAAAGCCAATTTCTCTTTGGGAGCTGAGGATGCAAATAGTATTTCTGGAGCTTGTGGGATCTCTTGGGGTTTCAGAGGTGGGACCCTGGCTTTCTAATAAAACGGTGTACTTTCCGTACCTGAGCTTTGCAGGATTACTAGCGCTAGTTTAGGGATTGTAGTCTGCAGGGGGAGCTATGTTTCCATAACCAGGGGATAGGATACTGGAGGAACTCAAGGGCTCCTCCCTGCAGGCCCAGGCGTGTTTGGGAACTGTGGCTTTCCCTGGGCTGTGCTGTCTCCCTAGTCTCCTTCCCAGCTTCAGCCTCCAGCTTGGGCACTGAGTCATCGTCATCTACAGGGCCTCACCAACAGCTGGGTGCAGTGCTTGGCCTTTTTTTTCCCCCTTCTTTTTTTGTGCCTTCACAGAGATGGAAACTGCTGATCATCTTTTGCAATGGACAATGATTGAAGTGAAGTCCAGAGTCAGGATGGTGGTTCTAGGTAGGGAGAAGTGAACCCCCAGGTGATGGAAGTAGGGGTGTTTCTCTTCCACTTTCCAGCCTTTGCGCCTTTCAGTAAGCCACCCCAGGGGACAGGCAGGGAGGAACAGTGTAGACCTCGCCTGTCTCTGTTCTTCCCTACTGGGGGGCCCAGGAAGCCTTTGGCGATTAGCCGATGTAGGTAGCGGTGGAAACTTTGAGAGGTGCGCTGCTACTTTTCCAAGAAGCTGTGGACAGAATCTACCAGAAGTCATGTGGCCTGGGTTCCAGTCTTGCTTTTTTTGCTTCTAACTCTATTTGAACCTGGGTAGTAAGTCACTTTCTTTACTGGACCTTTTCCCACCTAGAAGCAGACAGGTTAAAAGTGCCCGAGGTTCCTTCTTGTTCAGATGCTGTGTAAGTCTGAATTGAACGTAAAGAATTCTGAACTTACTTCCCTAATCTTGAACACATGAAAACTCCCACTCTTTCTCCAGGTGAGCAGTGCTCACTGCATAAGGAGAATCACATAGATGTGATTTCTAGCCCCCAAGAACTTAAAGGCTGGCTTCCTTCTTTTTCTCCACACTAGGCAGTAGACAGTCTCCCCTGGGAAGCAGGAAACTGGGATTCTGGTTTTGGGTCTGTCAAAATACATCGTGTGTCCTTGGACAGATCATTCCTCTCCTTTAGCCTCATTTTCATTTTTTCTAAATTAAGGGATTAGATTCACTTCTTGGTTTCAGCACCCACCCCAACAGGCCCTCCCCCCACCCCGGCTGCCCCCCCACCCCCACCCCAGCCTCCTACTAGCTTTTCTGCAGGGTGTGATTGTTAGCTGCAGAAGCCCTGGGGTATAGTTTCCTTTCTTGCTGGGAGGGAGAGAAGCAAGATTATTTTTTTAATTACGCAGCTAAGATTAGGCAGCAATCTACATTTTAAAATGTTATTAATAAGACTCTAAAAGTGTGTGAAGAAGCTTTGGAGTTTGAATGTGAAATGAGTTGGGAAACATCTGCAGAGGCCCTGGCCTCAATCAGAGATTTTTCTCTGGGTGCCAAGTGGCTGCAAGGTATGACTAACAGCCTGATGTGCTGCTGGGCCCAGAGGAGCAGGAGCCCAGGCACTCAGCCAGAGCACCCCCTGCCCCCAACAGGAGCACACGGTGCAGCCTCCCATGATGGTTCTTTGCCAGCCAGCTCTAGAGAAAGGGTGGTAGTCATAGCTCAGAGTTTGCAGAGATGTTTATTGTCTCCCTTTTCATCATCATCCTGAGAGTTAGGTAGAGCAAGTTTCATTGCTCCTGTGAGTTGGCTGAGATCTCTTAAATTTCTGATTCTTCCTTTCAAAAAGGTGCTGTACCATAGGGGAAAAGCCCCAGATGAAGTTGGGAGCCAGTCCTGGGCCGCCGCCCACTCAGCTCTGCCTGTCCACTTTTCCTGTGCTTTATTTCTCTGGAGCACATACAGTCTTGGCAGGGCTATGCCCTCAGTGTTTTTTGTCTTTTTTGTCTATTTTCTGCCTCCCACTAGAATGTATGGTTCATAAAGAGAGGGGGTTTTGTCTGTTTTGTGCAGTGCTGTGGCCCGTGGCACCTGGGACAGCACCTGGTGGTCAGTCAGTACTCGGTAACTATTTGTTGAATCTTATGAATATCTGGCTCTGTTTCTCAGTCACCTATGTGACTTGGAAAAGTTATTTTCCACAGTCTTGCTCTCTCTCTGAGGAGTTGGCGGGGATGGTCTCTGCCATCTTTGGTGGCATATAAAAGTTCCTGATAGGAGCTTAACCTCTCTTTCCTTTCTGCAAACACTGATCACCGCTCTGGGTCGAGCCCTGTGCAGGTGCTACTTATTGGCTGTGTGATCTTAAGCAAGACATTCTCAACTTTTGTCACTGTTTCTTTTTCTGTAAAAGGGGATTCCCACCAATCATTGAGGGCTGATTAAATGATTAAATTGTTTAACTTACTGGCAGAGGCTAAAATAGTTCTGTGGAGAGTCAACTCTCAATAAATATGTTCTCCTCAGTCCCTTATGTTTTTGTTCACTTTCTTTGCAGTTGTTTCTTCTCTCATGTATAGAAGCATTATTCCTGGATTATTAACTTTCTAAAAACTCCAGAACTTTTGTTATGTGATTTTGTTCATGATACAACTTTAGAGGTTTGGGAAATTTTTACAAAGTTTTTTTTTTTTTTTGGTATATTTTTGTAAATGTAAAGCCAAGCCCCAATTTCTACTTAAATTGTTCACTATATTAGTAGCCTTTGATATTAGAGTGGATGTCACATTTAGACCAAGCATTCCAAAAGGTGCCAATAAAATGAGATTGTATATCACTCATTTGGACACTGAGGAGCTTTAGAGGTCATCATAGACTTTAGATCAGGAAGATGTTTCAGAGGCCATCTATTTCAGTCCACTTGGTCTATGGATGGGAAAATGAGGCCCCTGGGAGAGAGGGGACTTGCTCAAGGTCATGTAGCCTAGAAGATAAGCCAGGATTATTTTCTGAGTCTTAGGGTAAATCTTCCTCTCTTCTTTGACTCACCATGTTTCATCGCTCTTCTTCATTGCTCTCCTTTTCCCTAGTCTTAATTTATCTATATCGTGTAGTATTTAAGATGTTTCTGATATGCCAGATACTATGCTTGCATCTTAACCGAAATCCAAAATTCTACAATAAAGCCTTCAGTGCTTGTCCCTTTCTCAGTGAGTACAGGAATTGACCCTAAGACATCAGTAGATGGGAGTTGGCGGAGATGATTTGACAAATTGATAGAAACTGTGGGTGGAACTGTGGAAATCCTTGATAAGACTGTGATGTTCAGTTTGGGAGAATAATAGTAGTACTGGCTAACATGTACTATTGCATGTCATGTGCTTTATGCAAAAGTATCCTTGCAACAGCTTTTCAAGTTAGGTGTTATTAT